AGAGAGACACGTGATGCTGGGCTGATGTTGTGGCGTTCACTGTGACGTTCGCTGCGCCAACTAGCGGTGGGGTATCTGAAGCTGGTTCGTAACCCGAATTTTAGCTTGCAACTCAAAGCAAAAAATCGGCCGAGAGACGGCTCGTATCTCAAAAAACTCGTTAGTCAGGACACTCATAAGTCAAGGCCCCACTGTATTGGTACACTACTGACCATCACTTAGCGAGCTGTTTCCTCTCATTGGCCTATGGCTTATGGCACTTCATGCCTTCAAACAATGACAACAACAACGCTGCTCTAACATGTATGCTGTCAGCGGATTTTAATGCGATTGACTTGGTTCCCCAGGTCAGGAGATGGGGCCACAGGAGATGACATGATTTTCCAAACGCCGTTCAGAAGGCTTGGGCCAGACCGGAAGTGGACGCCAGGCACCCCACCCTCTGGCTTTGCCGGCGCCCTTTGTCGCTGAGCCACAAGCACATAACAATGCAGAAGTAAAGGCTATTGGGGGATCGAAAACAGTTACTAAATCAGTTCTCCCTCCTGGTGAAATGTCTAATTTTATCACCCTTAGAAACAGAGTTGTACAATCTATTCAACACTTTTTGTATGAAGGTTACATGTATGATTATAGCACGAAGGCTCTGATCCATGCTGAAATTCTCCCTTTCACCCCAACTCATCCGTTTCCTTTCTTTTTTTTTTTTTACAGAAAATTCCCGGAAGAACTCCCCCCTGACGCCTCCCCATGGGTGAGTCCAACGTGACCCCATTTGAGGTCGAGGGCCCCACGAATGCCTCGACGGGCAGGAACGCCTCCGCCAGGGACGTGCGGGAGGAACTGCCCGCCGTGCTCTGGGTCATTATGAGCGTCTCCCCGCTGGGCTTCGTGGAAAACGGGGTTCTCCTCTGGTTCCTCTGCTTCCGGATGCGAAGGAACCCCTTCACAGTCTACATCACCCACCTGTCCATCGCGGACATCTCCCTGCTGTTCTGCATCTTCATCCTGACCGTCGACTACGCCTTAGGTTACGAGCTCTTATCGGGCTACTACTACACCATCGTCACCTTGTCCGTGACATTCCTGTTTGGCTACAACACGGGCCTCTATCTGCTGACGGCCATCAGCGTGGAGCGGTGCCTGTCCGTAATGTACCCCATCTGGTACCGATGCCATCGCCCCAAGCACCAGTCGGCGCTCGTCTGCGCCCTCCTGTGGGCGCTGTCCTGCCTGGTGACCGCCATGGAATACGCCCTGTGCATCGACAGCGAGAGGCAGAGCTACTCCCAAAGCCACTGCCGGGCGGTCATCATCTTCATCGCCGTCCTGAGCTTCCTGGTCTTCACGCCCCTCATGGTGCTGTCCAGCGCCGTCCTGGTGGTCAAGATCCGCAGGAACACCTGGGCGCCCCACTCCTCCAAGCTGTACCTGGTCATCGCGGTCACCATCGCCATCTTCCTCACCTTCGCCGTGCCCATGCGCGTCCTCTACCTGCTGTTCTACGAGTACTGGTCCACGTTTGGGAGCCTCCACGACGTCTCCATCCTCTTCTCCACCATCAACAGCAGCGCCAACCCTTTCATTTACTTCTTCGTGGGCAGCAGCCGGAAGAAGCGGTTCAAGGAGTCCTTAAAGGTGGTGCTGACCAGGGCTTTCAAGGACGAAACGCAGTTCCGGCGCCAGGAAGACAGCAGCAATCTCAACACCACCGAGACAGTCGTCTGAGCCCAGGCAGTGGGGCGCAGGGTGTGTGTCTCTGTGCTCGACGCACAACGGAAGTAGCTCCTGACCATGATACGGAAGGACACCTGCCCCCAGGAATGAGATGCTAATTGACCATGAGACTGGACTCCTGGACGGTGTCTTCTGCAAATGCCTACACATGAACCTCAGTCCCTTCTGTCCCAATCAAAATCCCTTTCGGTCCCTCCTCCACTCTTCCCAGGGACCACGCAGGTCACTCCAGCAGGAGGTGTGCAGGGGTGCGCAGGGGTGTGCAGGGGTGTGGAGGTGTGTGTGTGGGGTGTGCAGGTGTGTGAACGTGTGTGGAGGTATGTGTGTGGGTGTGCAGGTGTGTGAACATGTGTGTATGGGGTGTGCAGGGGTGCGCATGTGTGTGCAGGTGTGTGAACATGTGTGGAGGTGTGTGTATGGGGTGTGCAGGTGTGTGCAGGTGTGTGCAGGTGTGTGGAGGTGTGGGTATGGGGTGTGTAGGGGTGTGCAGGGGTGTGCAGGGGTGTGTAGGGGTGTGCAGGAGTGCACAGGAGTGTGCAGGGGTGTGCAGGGGTGCGCAGGGGTGTGGAGGTGTGTGTATGGAGTGCGAAGGGGTGTGCAGGAAAAGGTAACACGGGATTTGCTGGCACTTGAGGAGGTGGAGCGGCGGAGCGGGGAGAACTGGGTTTTGGGGTGAGGTGGAGTCTGTCATTTGCTGCCCGTGTGACTTCAGCACTTGACTTAACCTCTCAGCCCTGCGGCCTCAGTTATAAAATATTTGACCGTGACCGTCCGTATCCCTGGGCTGTGGAGAGGATGACATGGGGAGACAGGTGTGCAAAGCCCCTGCTCACTGTCATGCTCGTAAACGTCAGCCTCCCCTCCCCGCCTTCAGGGGAAGAAGACACGCACGCCTCAGTTCTGTGCAGCACACGCGTGGCTCTGTCATGTACCAGTACTGTAACATGTTTTCAAGTGTTGAGTGTAGATTCACGAAGGGCGCAGGATTGCTATCGACAACGCCCCCCGGTGGTGGTCACAGGATCCACGCCGCCATGCGGTACAAGCAGCATCTCAGGTCACGAACAAAACTGCTGGCCAGCCCGGGCTGGTTTGGTTCAGTGGATGGGACGTTGGCCCGCGGACTGGCGGGTCCTGGGTTTGATTCTGGTCCAGGGCACACACCTCGGTTGCGGGCTTGATCTCCGGCCCCGGGCCTGACCAGGAGGCAACCAATTGATGTGTCTCTCTCACATCAATGTTTCTCTCTCTCTGCCTCTCCCCTCCCTTCCACTCTCTCTAACAATAATGGAAAAATATCCTCTGCTGAGGATAAAAAACAACAAGAAAAGCCTTTTGGCCACCGTTTGTGAAGTTGCTGGTGGCACCCTCCCCCGTGGGAACGCTGGGTGTCACGCAGGCCGTTTTAACCTCTTTGCTTGACGTGGATCTTCACGATCGGGACTTAGCTCCGGAGTCACGGAGGGGACTGGGCTCCCGGAGCTGCTCCCCCAGGAGGAGGGGTCATTTATTTACAGCGCAGAGTTCTCCTCTCCTCCGGGCGCACATGTCTGTGTCATCCCTGGAAGGAGGGGCGGCCGGGGCTGCGGACCGTGTGGCCACGTCTCAGAGGGCACTGCAGGACCCCTCGGCGTCTGAGTGTTCGCCTGCTCGCCTGCCGCGGCTCCTGTCTGTGTCCTGAGCCGCATGTCCCAGGTTTCAGCTGGGACTCCCCGTCCTGGCCTGTAGGCTGACCACATCACTATGTCACTTTCCTGCTCCTCCTCCGGGCGGGCACCCGTGACAATGGCAACGCTCCGGTGGCTCTGTGGGGAGGAATGCGTCCACGCGCCTTCGTGTTTGTTTTAACTTTGTCTCCAAAGGGTCAGAGAAGCGGTGAGGAGATGGTTCTCTGTCGCCGCCTGTCTCCTCTCCATCCTCTTCCTTTTGAAAGAAACGGTCCCCTAGACGTGTGGGGGCAGCTCCACCGGTGGCAACACGCCAGCCCCCCCCACCCCTGCCTGGTGCAGGCGGCGTTTCAGGGGGTGACATCTGATTCAGACATGAGGCAGCTTGCTTTCAGGAGCCCAGATGGGCGTGGAGCGGTGGCATTTCGGATGATCTTGTTTCTGATGGAAAACAGAACGCCTCCTTGGGCAGGAAGAGAGTGCGGCTCCGCGGCTGTCCCCTGTTCACGTCACCTCCCAGGTGCCCGCCGTAGTCAGTGGGGAGGGGTCGGCCTCAGCTCGAAGAAGAAGGAAAGACCTTAGAAGCAAGGAGTGTTCACCCGAGGAAGATTGGACGGGCTCATGGGAAGCCCCATGAACTGCCCTTTTGCAGACCAAGTGGGAACATGGAATGCGTTCGTGAATATTAAAATTCCTCTAACCGTTGACAGAGTCATGATTTGCAGAGAGGTAGGATTCGGGGTTTGGCAGGGCTGTAAGGACACAGTCCTCTCTCACTTCACCCAAATGCACCCCCAACGCAGAGTATAAGGTAAAACTAAAACAGGAAGACAAGTGAATGTGCACGGGTGAAGAGGAGACCAGATGGTTTATGGGAATATAGACAACGTGCCTAAGTCAAGGTAGGGGAGGGGGCGCCAGTCCTGAGAATTCCTGGGCCTGGCTGGGGCAGAGGGCGCTGGGACTTAGTGCCTGTCCTAGATGGGGGGGAAGGGTCTGTAGCATTCGTGCTAAAATATTCATGGAGGCCGCCCCTCCCCAGCGCCAGGATGTGAACAGGCCAAGGGAGCAGGCGGGCCCGGGCAGGAGGGGAGGACCACACAGGCACCGACCGCGCTAGCTGCACGCAAATCCACGTCCGAGACTCATACACAAAGCTGCGTGGCCGTCCAGAGGGAGGTGAAACCGCATCTCGTGGTGAAAAGGGGTGTTTCATGGAGGTGCCCTTTGGTTGCATAAAGTAGGATTTCAAAAGGTCAAAGGGGGAGGGGGCTCCAGGCCGAGGACCGGCCTGAGGGCAGCCAAGGGCAGGTCAAGGACAGGTGAGCAGGGGCGGGGCAAGCCCAGCCTCTCAGCTCTGGGACTGGCGGCACGGAGGCCCCTGGAGAGCCCCGTGGTCCTGCCCCCCACCCTGCCCTCTCTGCAGCGGCCATCGCTGGCCTTCGGGCCCCGCATGCTTCACGTTCTTTGAAATATGGCTCCCAGGCGTGGGTCCACAGCCACGGTCATTGGTCATTACCACCCGGTCTTGCCGTGGCAGCTGCTCTCACTCCTTATCTGCACCAGCCCTGCTCGCCCCCCTCTCTGCGTCAGCTCCACTGGCCCTCAGCTTCTCCTCTCCGGGCTGCGCTCCGAGCCTCACTGCAACTCCAGCCCGGCTGCTTCCGAAGGCAAACCCCACACACCCACCATCTTCCCTCAGGCTTCGGTCAGGTGTCAGCTCGCAGGGAGGCGCTCGCTGGCTGCCGGGCCACCCCCCAGGCCTCAGCCTCCCAGCACCCTCACGCTGCACCTGGAGGCACCCCCGAAGCGGAGGGAGCGGGAGGGGAGCACAGGAACGTTCTGCTCCTGCTGCGGCCCCAGGCCCGACCTGCTGGCCTGGTGGGAGCCGCAGACACAGGCTCATGTTGCTCCCATCTGAACACAAACAGTGAGGAAGCCCTGGCCAGCCCCTCCCCCTCTGCCCCCTCACAGACACCCTTCTCTCCTGGAAAGGGGCCCCACTCCTGTCTGTGCTTTCCCCACCACGACTCCCCCCTTCACACCCGTCAGCTGAATTGCGACCCTCCCGCCACATTGAAATTGGCTCAGCTAGGGATCAAGTGACTTGCACATTGTCACATCCGATGGCCCTGCTCTTCCCATATCTTCTGCAGCGAATGACAGGGCTGACTGTACTTGTTCTTTTTCCTTTTTTAGAGAGCGTAGAGGGAGGGGAGAGACACAGAGAGAGAAACATCAATGTGAGAGAGACGCATCGATTGGTCGTCTCCCACACTCGCCCGGGTCAAGGCCAGGGATCAAGCCTGCAACCGAGGTATGTGTCCTTGACCGGAATCAAACCCGGGACCCACATTCTATCCGCTGAGCCAAGCCGGCGAGGGCTGACCATACTCTGCTCAAAAGGCCCGCTTGAGCCCGGCCGGGTGGCCCAGTGGTTGAGCATCGACCTGTGAACCAGGAGGTCATGGTACGATTCCCAGTTGGGGCACATGCCCGGGTTGTGGGCTGAGTCCCCAGTGTGGCAGCCACTCAGTGATTCCTTTTCATCATTGATGTTTCTCTCCCTTCGTCTCTCTGAAATCAATAAAAAGAGTATATATATGAAGCAGCTCTTTCCCCTCTGTGGTCCCCGCTCAGGCGCCAGCCAATTCGAAGCAGCTGTGCTGTCCATGGTTTAACCTCCTCACGCCTGCCCGGCCACTGCTCACATTTTCTCTGTATCACCTCTTGCTAGTACCATGTCACACGCGTGTGCTACCTAACACACAGCTTATTCTCGTGTGCTTTTGTGTAAGTTATCTCGTGGTCTATGTTGCCGTCTGCAAATTGTTTTTTGTTTGTTTGTTTGTTTTTCAGCGTCATATTGTTTAGTCTTTCTTCCTGGGCCATGGTTCTCATTTCAATGTTAAATTACACAAATTGCTTATTCCAACCAAATTGAATTTCCTGGGAAGATTTGGGAGGAAAACTGGCAGAAAGGCCCATGGTCTCCTAGTGACAGGATGGTCTAGTGACAAGGGCTCCTAGAGTCTCCTTAAACCAGGGGGTGGCAGGACAGTTGCCAGAGGACAATTAAAGGCCTTTCTTCCTGGAAACAGCACTGCAAGTGGGTTTGCTCATGCTGAGTGTCGTCAAGCATGGCGTTCGGGAAAGGCCGTTCCCTTCATTCTGTGCTTGGAATAGGTTTAAGTTTGATGAGCAGCAAGGGGCAGTCCTGACTCCATCAGCGAGTAGAGTTCACTAGACCCAGGTGGTGGGAGTGAAACCATTTGCTCACGGGCGGCCTGTTTGTTACTCACCGCTAGCTGCACGTTACTGCCTGCAAGAGGGAGAGCGTCCTTCCCACCATCTGACCTGTTTCCTTCTCTCTCACTTTGCATTGCAGTCCCTTTTCATCCAGGAATAAAACCTCGACCCCCACGTGGCTGGGCCGGCTGAGGCCCTGGGCCCCCCTGGGAGACCGTCCGTGTTTTACAGGCTGCAAATTGGTTTTTTCACTCAGCGTTAGGTCGAGGGCTTCGCCTGCGCTGTCGCGTGTCATGTAGCTTGTTTCTTTTCACAGCTGAACCTTACTCCTCAGTGTTAACAGCCCACAGGTGATTCTCTTGCCCCCGGAATGTGTCCAGGTTTCTTGTTTTTTGTTTGTTTGACGGGAAGCGTTGCTGTTGAGAGTTCCTGTCCATGTCTCTGAGCACGCTGTGCCAGGATTTCTCTCGGGCAGGGCCAGGAGCAGGGCGGCCGGAGCCAGAGCAGTGCTGTCCGAGGTGCGAGGTGCGGCAGGCCCGTGGGGGGAGCGGTTCGGGCTGCACAGCGCCTGGGCCGCCCACCTCCCTGCGTACGCGGCTCGGTGCGCTGGTCGAGGGAAAAAGGGCATCTTGTAGGCCTAGTGAGCCCTACATGCTGTTGAAGAGGTGGATTGGGGCCAGCCCTCTATCCCAGGACCCGTGTCCCGGAAGACAGCCACGTGAAGACGTGACTACACGGCCGGTGAGGCAGACGCGGACGTTGGCGATGTGCCTACCAGCCAGGAAACGCCAGACTTGCCAGCAGCCGCCAGGAGGTAGGAAGGCCAGGAAGGAGTCTCCCCTGGAGCCTCAGAGGGCAACTTCCCATCTCCCCGGCAAGTCTCCCCTTCATCACCTCACCCGCCTGATCACTGTGCACAGACAGCGGGGTGTCTCATGGGGGTTCCCTCGCCCACTCACTTAATTTGGGGTGACGCAGCCCATGCTGCCGGGCTTTGCCCACATCCCTTTACACTCCCGGATGTTCTCCATGGCACCTCCAGTCT